CATTGTTTTATTACTTGTTAATAGATTAAAATCCTCACCCAAAACTTGTGGAAATATCAGTGTGCCTTTTTACATATATTAATGACGGTTAAACTGTGACATGACATTTCATGATGATTAGGTCAATAAATATGTTCTTAAACATATGTGCTATAAAGACAAACACATTCATTTTCTATTCAGGAAATATTTATTCTCTTTTGTTCCTAAATATAATTTTTTTTTCTGTACGATGGACAGGCTGCTGAGGAATCAGTTAATGTGTTCTATCATTATACATACGAAGGGAGTGTAGACATAGACTCGGTTACAGATCCTGCAATGAAAGCATCCATTTTAGCACAAATTAATCATTTTGGGCAGACACCTAAACAACTGTTCCTCAAACCCCATGTGAAAAGACGAACTGACAGAAAACTTCCTCCCCATCCCCTTAAATATTCCAGTCATCTTGCTGCACATGAGATTCGCAGAAGCCCTTTACCTATCACACAAATTGTCACTCTCCACGATAAAATTCTCATAGCTGGAACTAACAGTCTGCTAAAACCAAGAACATATAGCAAATATGTTGCTTGGGGTTTTCCTGATCGTAGCTTGAGATTTATGAGCTATGAACAAGATAAACTTCTTTCAACACATGAAAATTTACATGAAGGTAATCAAATTAACTGTGTTAGTGCTAGTCATGATGGTCAGATTGTGGTTACTGGTGCTGATGATGGACTGGTTAATGTATGGAGAGTTAGCAAGTTTGGACCCCGTGCCCTTCGACGCATGAAGTTGGAGAAGCCACTTTGTGGTCACACAGCCAAAATTACATGCCTTCAAGTTAGCCAGCCATACATGCTTATTGTTAGTGGATCAGATGATTGCACAGTTATTATATGGGATCTCAGCTCTATGGCATTTGTACGGCAGCTCCCAGAATTTCCAGCACCAGTTTCAGCTATTTTTGTTAATGACTTGACCGGAGAGATTGTTACAGCGGCTGGTATTCTTCTGGCTGTTTGGAGTATAAATGGGGATTGCCTGGCACTGATCAAAACTTCACAACTTCCATCCGATTCCATTCTCTCAGTGACAAGCAGTACATTTTCTGATTGGTTGGACACAAAGTGGTATGCAACAGGTCATCAGAGTGGAGCTGTCAAGGTGTGGCAGATGGTTCACTGCTCCAACCCAGATAGCTCCCTTAGCAAATCGGGTTTTGGTGGGTCGGGAATGCTAAATCTTGGTGGAAAAGAACCAGAATACAAGTTAATTTTACGCAAAGTACTAAAGTTCCATAAGCATCCTGTTACTGCCCTTCATCTCACAACTGACCTGAAACAGTTATTGAGTGGGGATTCAGGTGGACATTTGCTTTCCTGGACGTTGCCTGAAGAGAATCTGCGTGGTTCATTAAATCGGGGGTGAAACTGGTAAATGTTGGTTCATTCTGCCGACTTCAGCTTTTGGCCAGCCTTTAGTTGTTGAATCCTAACGTTGGCTTCTCAGTGGATCTCAATTGTTGAAAGATGGATTAATGTTCATAATTGGAGAGAAATGCAAAAGAATGCTGGCCAGATTGGAACAGAGCTAACAAGGTTGTAAAAGAAAAGATGGGAGGAACACATGGTATAGATGGCTAAAACATAATGCGTGTAAGAGTACAATGTATTCACTAGGTGAGGGATGCATCTGCGAAGAAAGATGGATTGTAGGTGGAAGAGGAGAAAGCAAATGTTGCCCGCGGTCTTGTATTTTGGATGACTGGCGGAGAATATTTTGATTTTGCCAGAGAAGTCTACTCTTTTTTCTTTGATGTAAATATGTGATTGTAGTGTGTAATTAAGTTGTATAGTAAAAGGCTAGTCGTGAAATGAATTGTGATTGCAACTATAGGCCCAATGTTAGGTATGATTGTGGGTTGAATGCAATCCTTTCTCGGGAATTCTTTTTCCCTAGTGACATTGGGGCATTTCTTTTATTGAGCCCCGAAGAAAACGAGGAAAGCTAGGTCATTGCCTTTGATTTGTACATTTTGTTTTCTGAATATCCCTCCCATTTAGTCATTTTGCTTGGTGGGCCACTATTCACAACATATTTTCATGTTAATATGCGTTGGACAGATAGACACAATCCAATAGTACTCTCTACTAGATACGGGTGATTAATTTACCTATTCAAAAGTCAGGAATCACCTACACTATTTTGTAACAGGAGAGTTCAGTATGCCTCTACTCAAACATGAAAACACAGTGGATCCAAGATACTAATTGCACTCTTCATCTATTATCTTGTTTAGGGTTTATGTGGAGGATGGGAGTGTGGAACTGTGTTGTGAAATGCAATAGAAAGTGTGGAAGTAAAAAAAAAAAATTAAAAAGGAGAAAAGAAATAAAAAGTTGATTAGGTAAATTTATATAAAAAAGGAAATAAATGAGATTTTTAAGATATTTATCAGAATATGTAATAAATAAAGTTTAAAAAATTGAATTCCAGTATAACAACCAAATTTTTGTATAGCATAACATTATAAAAAATAACTGGAATGAGTATAGCAATTGATCATTTTACACTTTTTAGGGGTTACGGTAATAGCATTTTGTTGCGAGGTGTTACAGTAAAACAAATGCAAAATAATAGATAGATAAGTATCAACTGTAATTCTACTTTCCATGACTCATGATTTGTGAATAACTTTTTCTGCATTATTATATATTGTAACAACCGTAGATATAAATTGGGTTCTCCAACACAACACTGAGCAGAGGGAAGTAGATAATTAATTGGATTGTCGATATGTTACAGGTCTATGAAGCTACACCCAGAGATGGATCAGAGGTCACAGAACTTAGCTGTCACAGACAAAAATCACACAAACATACACCTCCAATTCAATTCAAGTCAACAACGCATGCAATCACTCCAATTCTCACAAGATATCTAGCCAATAGCTTCATTCTTAGCATTGATTACGAATGCATCTTTCTCCTTTGCATCATCATATGACATGCAAACCAACGGGGCTCGGCTATAAAGTTAATTTAATTTAAATATTCTTTTACAAGTTAATTTAATTTGAACAAATAAATTGTATGGTGTGTAGCAATTGACTAAAAAGAAAGGGTAAGGGAAAGGGATATGTTTCTCGATTGGTGAGAAGTGGAAACTGAAAAACAACATTGAATTGAAGTAACCCGGAACATGAATTGACAAGTGAGGTCGATCACGCTACACTTGTGCAATAAACAGCGGGAGAGAGAAGAACCCATTTTTTGCATAGAAATTCTAAACCCTCTTCTTTTCCCTCTTCTCTCTCACCAACACTCCATTTATTACTCTGAATCTATGTTCATAATTGCCCATCCCATGCACACCACTTCTTCACTATATATTTTCATTTCATTTTATACATCCAATACTTATAACTATGGCACCAGAAGGATCTATCAGACTATACTTATACATAAAACTTGGAAGGTATGTTATAAGATTAAACCATGTAAAATACTTCATTCAGATTGTGCCAAGTGAATAATAGATACAAAACAATTAAAGTACATTTTAACTATAATTTATATATTTTTATTTGTTAAAAGAGATTAAGTAAAAAAAAGAAAACCAAGAATAGTCATTATAATATTGTTGAAGGTGGCAATTAGAATAGGTGCAACACAGGAAGAAAAAGGCTGAGACAGTCAGAATCCCTCCACTGCCATGCCGCCCTATTAGATAACTAGCTATGCCTTTGACCCCCATTAGCTAACCAAGACAACTCATCATGCATCTTCCCTTTCAATTCACTTTCTTTGCCCTGCCCTCTTTGTCCTCTTCATTTTCCCTTCCCCATCTCACTCCCCATCTTTCATACTTTCTTTTATTTATTCACTGTTACACAGGGTGGGTTATGTCTCTCATCACCTCCCCTCCCCCTCTCTCCTTTTACATTCTTCATTTCTCCTATATATATTCTACCCTTTGTGTATCTCCCACCTATTCAATCTCATTCGTGTTTTCCTTACAAGTTTGGGATGAAATCCACTTCTTATTCACTGCTGAGTTTTCCTTCCCCTCCAAAAGTCCTCCTTCATATATAGCTTGTTTTAATTGCATGTGTACTTTTAGAGTTTTATTGTACATTTTCACCTCGAGCATGTTAGTGTTCGATCTACATTCCGCAGTTTGTCTTTTGTGGTTCCATGTGTTTGTTACCGAGTTTCTTTCCTCTATAAGTTAACCATATCTGGGTTCCGAGCTCGAAGACTACGACGTGTAGCATAGGAATGCTGTGGTGAAAAAGATCACAAAGGAAAAAGTGAAGCTGCCAGCATGATCTAGCTTTGGTTAGTGGAAGCCAGTGAGTGCTAACCCTTACTAGGTCATGCTGTGCTAGCCTCACTCCTTCCTGTTTGGAGACCAATACACTCTTAACAATCACACGCACAAACCTACCTCAAGGAAAAAGAATGTGAGTATATGTAATTTTATACCACTTCATTTACCTGTGTTTAGAGTATATTCTTTCTGCGTTTCTGTTATTGCAGGCACGCCCTGTACCTTTTTTCCTTTTCACTTCTTTTTCTTTGTTTTGTCTTTTAATCTTTCCGTTGATTTCATTAACCGCTGGTTTTTTCTGCCTTCCCTTCAAAAATTGGTCTTGGAAGTGTTCGAATCATGACGTTAGTGTTCCAACCAAATTAACCGTGTTTCAGCACAAAGAACATGTAACTGCGGATCTACAGATTGCTTATATCACCTTGTGCATGTTTCATAACATTGGAATGCCCACAGAACGTTATAGATGTTGCATTTTACATGAAAAATGTAAAAATAGTGAATGTAAAAGCACATTCCCTCCTTTCGCATGCTAGAAAATTTGCATTTTTTAAACAATATTAACTGCGTTTGCATGTTTACTCGTGTTTTATATCGCGCGCTCTTGAAGAAAAGGTTGCTTGAGAAAGAGTAAAACGCATGTTAATATTTTCTTTTTGTTTTGAAAACCATCCCATATGATAACTGATTTGTACCGTGCATGGCATAAACAATCTTCCGTTCTTTCTGTATGGTGGGGTTTTGTCGGTGCGTTTTTGGAAATACAGGTTCCACTGGAGAATCTGTCAACTAATATGTAGCTATTCAACAGAATCCGGATAATTTCTATTTTCTGAATGTCAGTGATGCGAGTGTACAAGGGTCCGGTAACGTATACTCTAATTAATATTATTAAATCTTTTCTTGTAGAATATCAAGATCTGTTGGGTCGAAAAAACAATAATCAAGATCGTGACAAACATTTGTTTTCTTTTGTCTTTGTCTATTTATTTTATTCAAAATAAAATGACGCCGTTTGTCTGTTGGACTAGATTATGTTTCTTATCCTGGACTAGATTATGTTTCTTATCCTAACCGCGTACTTTGTCTTGTGCGTGTTTTGCTTTTCTTAGATGTGAATCTGTTGAGAGACTAATGAACTTACTATATAATATGATGAGATAGTTCAAAGTAGGATTAATTCGTCACTGACTACGCAGATACGGTTCTGGAATCTTGAGAAATTGATTCTACCCCAAAAGGGTAATTTGAGGCTGGGTAAATTTTTTGGAAAGCAAAAATTAAATATCGTTTCTTCGCGGCTATGATTTCAATTTTCTAATCAATTTTAAAACTTGGACACTTGAATATTAAGGTATCTTAATGCATAAACACAATATTGAATTTGAACCATCTCTTATTGTATAGTGAGGTATGTGCTTTTAACTAACCTAAGTTACAAACAGATTTTGCGATGTATTCTCAAAATATTCAACCGCCATGGACATTCAAACATGGTAAGCAAAGGAGGTACTGTGATGATCTGGGTTTGAATGATGTATATTATGTGAAGGATCGTGATGTATATCTACTTGTTGTAAGAACTGAATATGATGATAATGATTTACTTGTGGGGATGTTGATGTACATCCAATGTTGTAGTAGCTATTAATGATGATATACATGTCGTGGCAGTTGATGATGATACACTTCTGGATGATGTGAAAGCTAATGACGATGATGTATAACATGTGCATGTTGTGGCATATGATGATAATTTTTGTTGTCTATTATATGATAAAATCAATTTTGAAGTTTTTGAAGCGTTGGATGGAAATTATAAATAGATACTGATGCACCTTTTGGATATAATGTATTTATTTGAAGTTATCTTAGTTTGTACAAACTATAAAAAATGTTAAATTAACAAGTATCATACATGGCATTGGTTACATTGAAAATTATACAGTTGAGTATAACTTAATTTTAACTGTAGACTTTTGAATTTTAAATTTTAAATAATAAGTATATGTATAATGGATCTGGTCTGATATTAGTATATTTTAATGGTGTAGAATTAGGACTTAAATTAAAATTAGTGTTATATTAATAAGTTCTCCCGCGCGCGTCATATAACACCCTCCCCGTGAGGTGAACAGTGATGAAAAAAAGAGCTAAAATTTATAAGAATTATTTAGAAATAAAAAATATATAATTTTAAGAATTATTTATAAGAATTCTATAGAATAAAAAGTAGGATTTTAATGTAGATTCGAATTGTTAAAACTTTTAAAAAATATATTCACATAAATAATTTTATCTAATTTTAAATAATTTAAATGAGATCTGTATTAATATAATATTTTATTTATAAACAAAACTCTTTCTAAAAATTTCCTGAGATTAAAAAATGTACTCTGTCTTTCTTGTATTTCTAAAATAACATTTATATGGTGTGTAAGAGTATTACAATTAATATTTGAATTCTTGTAAATATGAAAAATGTGGAAATAGGAAAATAAAGACAAATTTTTGGTCACTACTAGTGGATTCTATAGTTTTAAACTCTAACTCTTTCAAAGTGTGATATATTATATAGAAGAGTGAATTTGATGATCCAAAACAAAAAAAGTATATATATATATATATATATATATATATATATATATATATATATATATATATATATTATTTATAGAGGATAAGTATTATTTATAGAGTTTTGTTCGGGTTTCAAAATGTGAAATTAGGTGTGAGAAATATTTATAATATAAAGTTTTAAGGTTTAAGATTTTGGGTTGAAGGTAATATTATATAATATATTTTTATATGATTGACTCATATGTTATTTATGAGAATTTCTTTATTATTAGTTCTTATCGAAAATACTTAATAATGGTATCATATCATGATTGGTTTCTTGTTTATGCTCTGTGTTGCGGTCACGTTAGGATCTATAGAGCATGGTTGATTTCTTGTTTACGCTCTATGATTGCGATCATGTTATGGTCTACGTTGTTCCAGTAGACAATATTATTCATAGTGACAATTGTGTAGAACCAAAGATTGAAAGTGGGAAGAAATAAAAAGAGTACAACGAAAGATATTTGAAAGTCCTTCGTCAAATTGTATCAAGAGGAAACACATTCGACGGTATTATCCCTAGGAGAGGTTAGATATTTTGTGTTAGTGATGCTAATGATTACTCTAGGAGATTATGGATGTACTACATTTTGTGTTTTCAAAGTTCGAGAAAGACAAATTCTTAGACTATGTTAACAATGTGAAGGGAAATTTTTTGTGGATCCACAAGAGTAGGGATACAAATAATTTTTTTTAAGGTGAACTTAGAGAAATGATTGGTGTGCTTCAACTAGAAGACTTAAAGAAAAAGGAGACTTAGTTTGCAGGTTGACTAAATATCTATACAGTTTAAACTAAGTGTCTAGGTCTTAGTACAAGAGATTTGATTCTTCATGATTAGTCTTGGTTACAATAGACTGAGTTCATATCATTACACTTATTCCAATAAGTTTGGTTATAATGATTTTATTATCTTATCATTGTATGTAGATGACATGTTGGTGGTAGGTTACAACAAAGTTCGAATCCAAATTTTGAAAGTACAGTTGGCTAGGAAGTTTGATATGAAGAACTAAGGACCAACAAACAAGATTTTAGGGATGAAAATTCACAAAAGATAGGAATGTTTGACTTTAATAAAAAAATTACTTATTAAAGGTGTTACAGTGCTTCAACATGCAAGGGTATAAGTCAACTTTAACCCTATTTTCTATCAAGTTAATGAAGCAGGGAGAATGAAAATGTCTTAAGTACTGTATGTATCGACGGTGGAAAGTCTTATGAATATCATGATCGGTACAAGACCATAAATTATACAAACAGTGAGAGTGGTTAATATATTAAATACAAATTGTGGTGGAGAGCGTGAGTATTATAAAGAGAATTCTTATCAAAGGAACCTTAAATGTTGTATTATGTTTTGGAGGATCAAAACTAGTTGTCAGAAACTATGTTTGTTCAGGTTTTGCAGGTGATCTTGATGAGTTTACCTTTGTTGGAGAGATAATAATTGGTTATTCAAGTTATAAGATGTTGTAACTCTGTCTATTACATAAGCTGAGTACATGGTGAAAGTGATGAAGATCTTATTGAATTACTTTGACAAAGATCTTATTGATTTGATGAAGTAAAAAATGAAGTCAAAGGCTACTTTGTGGCAGTCAAAGGTCACTTAGATAAAAGGGTAGTGAGATTAGTGAGTCTGCATCTCTGCTTAGGTATAATCATTTTTATCTTTCTGCTGCATGAGGTTTCTTCATTTAAAAGATTTTGCAAATGCCTCCAAAAAAAATGTTTAAACGATTAAAAACAAAGTATTTTGTTAAAAGTTTTTTAATTAACTATTTTAACTAATAGCATATAAGCTTTATCAACTAAAATGTTCTTAACACTTTTGTAATAGGTTTTTAAGCTGATATGTTTTCGAAATAATCGATTGTTTTGATTAAAGAAAGTTTTGAAAACCTTACATCAGGTGTTTTAATTGATATAGTTTCGAAATAACCGATTAAAATCACTTAAAATGTTCAGGGAAGTGTTCTGGAAGTATTTTAATCGATATAACTTCGAAATAATCGATTAAAACCACTTGGAGTATTTTTTAATCGATGTAATCCAGCATATGATCGATCAAAATGAGTTTTTGATCGATCAGAATAATTTTAATCGATTAAACTGCGATTTAATCGATTAAAACAACTTAAGAGAATTTCTACTACGCGTTTTAATCGATTAAAACAGATTGTTATCAGTTAAAATCACTTAGAAAAGTTTATAAGAATGTTTTGCAGTATTTTAATCGATTGAAAGACGAAACAATCGATTAAAACAGTTTGGAAGATTTTTTACATAGAGTTTTAATTGATATAAACGGTGTCGTATTAGTTAAAACACATCCGGAAAATAATCAAGAACATTTTAACAGATTAAAACAAGACTTTTAATAGATTAAAAGATTATTTTAACAGATTAAATAAACTAGCGAGTTTTGAAAATCTTCTATAAAAACGAGTTGCTTGAACTTTTTAAATAACATCTTTTAGCAATCAATCAAGCAATCATAAGTTCTACTTTCAAGAGAGAATCACGTTAGTTTTTGTGAAGTTCATTAAAGTTCTTTCTTGAGGCAAAATTGCATTCTTTTGGAGAAGAAACACATACTGCAGAACTGCATAAATCTGGTTTGAGCGTTCTAACTTTCTTCTATTTATTTCTTTACTTTCTTTTAATGTATTGTGGGTGCCTGGAATTGTGGGCACTGGTTTCTGTAGCTGGAATTTGGCTGCAGGGTTAGTCAAGAACTGAAATTTGGTTCTTGGTGAAGGTTTAGGTGCAGGAACTGGAATTGTAGTTCTTGTGATAGATTGAGTGTGAGATTAGAGTTGTAATCTGTAAAACGTTCAATCTAGTCGAACCCAGCTGGAATTTGGCTGGAAACTGGACGTAGCCCTGAGATTGGGTGAACCAGTATAAATCTCGGTTGTATCTTTCTAAACCTTTCTCTTTTAATTCTGTCACTGCTTTTATTTTGATTGCTTGCTGTGTGTGATTCAAGAACTGGTCAGAAATCTTAAACTTTGAAATAGATAATCTATAAAATTGCGAAAATCATTCAAAGATCAATTCACCCCCCCTCTTGATCTCAACCTACATTTCTAACAATTGGTATCAGAGCAAGGGTCTTAAAAAATACTCAAGGCTTTCGGTCCAAATCTTTTATGGCTGAAAACAAATTACCTTTTTCTGAGGGGGCTTCTATTAATAGACCTCCACTGTTTTGTGGAACAGATTATCCATTTTGGAAGATTAGGATGAAGATCTTTATTGAATCTATTGATAGAAATGTTTGGGATGTAATTGCTAATGGTCCATTAATTACAGAAAAAGAATGGTCTAGTTTAAATGATGAAGAAAAGAAAAAAGTTCAAAGTGATTGTACTGCTAAAAACATAATTACTTCGCACTAAATATGGATGAGTTTTTCAGGGTCTCCCAATGCAAATCTGCCAAGGAAATGTGGGAGGTTCTTGAGGTTACTCATGAGGGAACAACCGATGTAAAGAGAGCCGGAAAACATACTCTCATAAGAGAATATGAGTTGTTTAAAATGCAAAGCTGGAAAAAGTATTGCGAGATGTGTAGAAGCGCTTCACTCATATCATCAATCATCTAATGGGCTTAGGTAAAACTTTTGATAAAGAAAAATTAAATATTAAAGTTCTGAAATGTCTTGACGAGTCATGGCGAGCCTAAGGTCACAACAATCTCGAATCAAAAGACTTATCCAGTCATGACAACAACTTCCTTGTTTGGCAAACTCGAGAGAACATGAAATGTAAATTAACAGATTCAATGAGCAAGAAGTCTTTGAGAAAAAAGGTAGAATTATAGCACTCAAGGTTGAAGAAAGAAGTCAAGAATCAGAGGAGGAAAGTGAAAATCTTGGACTGCTTGTCAGAAAGTTCAACAAATTTCTCAAGAAAAAGATTCAAGATAAAGAAAAACACAAAAGGTATGAGAAAAAATTTGATTCTTTTAACTATAAATGTTATGGTTGTGGTAAACAGGGTCATGTAAGAATGGAGTGCCCAGAAAAGAACAAATACAATGACAAGAAAGAGGAAAAAGTCAAAAGAAGAGCATATGTAGCATGGGATGATAATGA